GCAATTAATATAAAATTCTTTACCTTAGACTCAGGTAGACTCTTCAGACAAGGGAAAAAAGCAGCCACATTTTACACCAAAATCTCACAAAAACAGTCTCTAGGCCACATGCTGAAATTCTTCTCCTCTGAAACCTCTTGGGCCAGGTCTGCACAGTTCGAATCATACTCAGCAATAAAGTCTTCCATATTTCCACTAGGATGGCTCATTAAGCCCCATTTAAAACATTCCATGACTTTCCAAGCCCAAAGTCCCCAAATCTACATTCTTCCAAACAAAAGCATGGTTGGGCATATCACAGCAATACTGCACTCCTAGTACCAACTTCTGTCTTAGTTAGGGTTTCACTGATGTGAAGAGACACCATGACCAAGGCAACTCTTATAAGGACAACATTTAATTGGGGCTTGGCTATACATATACAAACCATCACATGAAGCATTTTTTGGGAGGAGAGGGGAACATAAGCAGTAGAAATGGGACCCAAGCCAGGCAGTGGTGGCACACGCCTTTAATCCCAGCACTTGGGAGGCAGAGGCAGGCAGATTTCTGAGTTCGAGGCCAGCCTGGTCTACAGAGTGAGTTCCAGGACAGCCAGGGCTACACAGAGAAACCCTGTCTCGAAAAAAACTAAAAGAAAAAAAGAAAGGAAGGAAGGAAGCAAGGAGGGAAGGAAGAAAGAAAGAAGGGAGGGAGGGAGGGAGGGAGGGAGGAAGGAAGGGGAGCCACGAAAACAGTATCTCTCTGTAGCGGTAAGATTTGGGGTTCATATCCAAATATAGTACTTAAAAGTGGGAAACCACAAGAGACAACATAGGGTCCAATGAATAGAAAATTACTGAGAGAAAAAAAATATGAAAAAATGGATTCTGAATAATACAACAAACAGTAGAAGATTCTTAGTGATGAGAAGCCAAGATCAGAAGATAGGCAATCGCGCCCTCTAGTGGCCATGTCACGCAATAACCCTCCCTTTGCAAGATGCCTTCCCCCCCCCCCCCATTGCATTTCTTCTCCCACTCTCAATAAACGTTTTGAATTCAGTCCTGCCCATCTGGCACTCGCTGTCTGGATAGATGTATCCTAACGGGAGAGTTACATACATGAGATAAATGGCAGAGTGCAGGGACCACGGGAGTAAAAGCCCTTTTGAGCTAAATGTGAACAGTAGAAATGTTTAGAAAAATCCCGCTTAACTAAGTTTATCCTTTAAAATAATAACTGGTATTTCAAAAAATAAATTAAGACTGCACATAATTCCAGTAAATCATAATTGCGAAGCTAAAATCAGTTTTTAGAACAAACATAGCTCTGTCTGAAGGTAATAATTGAGAGTATTTCTGAGGCTGGAAAGGTACCTCTGTCATAAAGTGATTGACTCCTCATAAAGACAAGGACCTGAGTCCAAGCCCCAGAACACACATCTAAAAGCCAGGTATTCACAGGCCCCAGCTGGTGACCCCAGGTCCGGGAAAGCAGGGACAATTGGATCTCTGGGGCTCAGTGATAGCTCAGGCTAGCAGATGTGGCCAGAGACAAAATGCTGAGAGATTCTGCCTCAAAAGAAAGAGGATAAGGCTTGAGAAGTGACAGTTGACAATCTCTTCTGGCCACCATGTGAATGTTACATGCGTTCTAACACACATACACAAACACCAGCATGTGCTTGTATGTGCACGCACATACAACTAATGTGAGTCCTTTTGTGTATAACCCATGATAAGTTATCACTGAAAAGAAAGCACATGATTTTACACTTCATACATGCTTAAAAAAAAAAAACAGCTGTAAATTCCTCTTCCTGCCGAGTCCTCTGGGGGGCATGCCTACCTGTCCTGGGCAGCTGGCTGTTTCCAGGAGCTCCATTGTCCCACCACCTTACCATTCAATTCACCAGACCTGCAGCACCAGAAACATCTTTACCCCCACCCAACCACATACCCAGCCAGCCTTGGCCCTAGGACATCTAATTTCTAGGAAACATCCACTGCCCCCTGAGTTCCGTTGTCCAGCCCAAAGCTGTAAGCATCATCAACAGAATACAGGAGAAGGAAAAGATCTCAGGCACAGAATACACAATAGAAGACATTGGTACATCACTCAAAGAATATGTCAGATCTAAAAAATTCCTGACACAAAACATCCAGGAAATCTGGGATATCATGAAAAAAAACCTAACCTAAGAATAATAAGAATAGAAGAGAGTGAAGAGTCCCAGCTCCAAGGCCCAGAAAATATTTTCAACAAAATCATAGAAAAAAATCCCTCAACCCAAAGAAAGAGATGCCTATAAACATACAAGAAGCTTACAGAACACTAATTAGATGGGCCCAAGAGAGGATGATTGAATCTTTCTCAGAAAGGGAAATAAAATAGATATTTCAGATGAGGGCCATCTAGGTTGCTTCCAAATTCTGGCTATTATGACGGAAGCTGCTAGGAACATAGTTAAGTATGTGTCCTTGTGGGATGGTGAGGCATCTTTTTATTATTTGCCCAAGAGTGGAATAGCTGGGTCTTGTGGTAGAACTATTCTCAATTTTCTAAGAATGGCCAAACTGATTTCCAGACTGAAGGCTTTCAAAACAGTAGGATCTCCTAGGACTAATGGTGTTTGTTTGTGGCATCTCCCTCTGATGTGAAGTCACTCGGGCTGTGGTGACCCACATTAGCTATCCAGAATCTGCAGCATAGATGGATTAAAAAATTGAGAGTCTCGGGCTGGAGAGATGGCTCAGTGGTTAAGAGCACTGACTGCACTTCCAGAGGTCCTGAGTTCAAATCCCAGCAGCCACATGGTGGCTCACAACCATCTGTAATGAGATCTGATGCCCTCTTCTGGTGTGTCTGAAGACAGCTACAGTGTATTCATATATAATAAATAAATAAATCTTTAAAAAAAATTGAGAGTCTCAGGTTCCCTGAAAACTTTAAGTGAACCTTATTCTGATAATACAAATGTTTGTGTGTTTGTATTTGTATGTGTGTGTTCCATCAAGAAATATATAACATGATATTTCTGCTCGAAAGCTCTCCTTGAGAAAGGCTTAGTGGTCCACTGGGACACAGAGGATCCACCCAGTGTACTCTGCTAGCTGGCTAATCTATAGTCATAGACCCATATGCCAGCATTCTTCTCTGGTGGATCTCACACAACACAAAGATTTTGTGATAAAGCCCAGTCTCACCTAGTCCCAGAGCTGGCTGACACAACAGGCCTCCACTTACCCTAGGATTGTCCTCCTTCAATGAGAGAATATTCTGTTCTCATGAGCCTCTTGGCTTTCTCTGAGCTATTGGAACTTGGACAGCTCAATGGCCCCAGGTCTTAATGTGTGACTCTATCTATGAAGCTATTTGTCTTTGCCTTCCTGAAATGGAAGGAAACAAGAGGGTTTTTTTTGTTGTTGTTTTGTTTTTGTTTTTTTTGTTTGTGTGGTTGGTTGGTTTGGTTTGGTTTTTTGAGACAGGGTTTCTCTGTGTAGCCCTGGCTGTCCTGGAACTCACTTTGTAGACCAGGCTAGCCTCGAACTCTCGAACTCAGAAATCCACCTGCCTCTGCCTCCCAAGTGCTGGGATTAAAGGTATGCGCCACCACCTCCCGACTAGGAAACAAGAATTTTAATCAATGAAATTAAATTTCATGACTTGACTGGAATACGTGGTCTTCTGCCACCCATCACAAATGAACCTATATCTGCATTGCCACCCCCCAAGTGTATTCAATCTGAGACTTAGGGATTTGAATTTGGAACATTCTTAGAATACAGTGGAAGTCAAGGCTCTGACATTGCTGGGGGTGGCCTCTCATGATACATTTGCATAAAAGAAACCACTCAAAGGCATTTACCCTGTTTGGCCATCTACTTCCATTCCCTATTCGGTGCCTTTAAGTATTAAATCGAGACTAAAGCCTCTGTTGATGCCGTAAGATCAGGTGTTCCTCATAAACAGCTAATTGGATTAGATTGCATCACAGAAGTCACGACCTTCTTTTCAGTCCTGTTTCAGCAAGACTCCACAGCTCAGAGAAGCCACTGGATAGGTCAGAGAGAGAAGACAGGCTCTCAGGTGGAAATCTTTTGTCATATTTTTCTTGAGGTGAGTGGTTAGAAATAGGATTGTTTTGAAATGAATCTGAAGTTCAGTGATGAATTTCTCATGTGGGGGGTTTGTGCCAGGGAAATGTTAGTGATTCCCAAAAACACAGACAGGAGCCAATCTGATGCCACCCACACACAGCAGAGTCTTTATTCTATTCAAGCTAGCTCGCCCCGCAGCCCCCCACCCAAACGCATTACCATCATGCAGGATGGTTTTGGGGTGGGGGCGGGGCGAAGCCCGGAATGCCCATCTGGGCAAGGCTTTATAGTAAGCAGCAAGCAGGGAATACGTGTGCATCTAATTGGAAAGTTACTGTGGCCTTTAACATAATTGGCTGGCGGTGGGAATCATATCGTCAACTTATTCCTGCTCCTCTCTGCATTGGTGGTTGTTAGGCAAGGGGTGGGCTTATAACCTGGGGATGCAGGTTTGTTGAGGAAATAACGTGGAGACACTGGCCTTGTTGGGGGTGAGCCTAGAGACTGGAGCTAGGCTCAGATTTTGTTGGGGGGGGGGGGCATCTTGGAAACTAATGCTAGGTACCAGCCTGTTAGTTTATCTGAGTTCAAACTTAGGTCAAATTCTCTAAAATGGAGTCTGAATTTAAAAGATTTGGCCTCTCATCGGTAATAGCATTTCACTTAAGCAGTACTTTCTCATTCAGAGTTTGGCAGCAGTGATGGGTTCTTGGAGTGAAACATTCCCTGAAAGTCACAATTTCAAGTCCCTGAGTCTCTGATGGAATATTCTTGGGAGGTGGAAACACAGAAACAGGTTCATTTATGATAGCCATCACCACGCCACAAGTTACTCTCGTGTCATGAAACTTAATTCCATCACTTGAGACTCTTTTGTTAACTTCTCTTTCAGGAAATCAAAGCCAACAGGTCCACAAAATGGAGTCACAAATGAAGACCAAGGGCCTTCCAGACATCCCAGCTCCAACAGCCCAGAAAAAACCAAGAGGCTCATGGGGACAGACTCTTCCATCCCTGAAAGAGGAGACCCCTAGGGTAAGTGGGGGCCTATGTGTGTCAGCCAGCCCTGGGTCTAGGTAAGACAGGGCTACACCACAAAATCTTTGTGTTGTGAGGGATCCACCAGAGAAGAATGCTGGGATATGGGTTTAAGCCAATAGAAAGTCCTGAGTGGTCAGCTGGTTCAGTGTACTGAGTGGGTGGGTGCTCTGAATCCCAGTGGACCACTGAGCCTTTCTCCTTGTGAGTTTTGTGCATGGAAATCAAGTTCTAGGTTGATGTATTTCAGTTAATAATAGAACAGAGCCGGGCAGTGATGATGCATGCCTTTAATCCCAGCACTTGGGAGGCAGAGGCAGGCAGATTTCTGAGTTCGAGGCCAGCCTGGTCTACAGAGTGAGTTCCAGGACAGCCAGGGCTACACAGAGAAACCCTGTCTCAAAAAAACAAAAACCAAAAACAACCAAAAAAACAAAAACAAAAAAAAAGAATAATAGGTCAGAAGCAGAAACTTGGAGGAGATTGAAGGGCAGGCTGAAAGGCAAGGATAACACTTTGGTAATATGAGGCTAACAGACTTTCCCAGAACAATGGGCTTGAATGGATTAGTTCTCTGTTTTTTTTTTTTTTAATTAAATTGAATATTTTATTTATTTACATTTCAAATGTTATCTACTTTCCCAGTTTCCCCTCCAGAAACTCCCATCCCCCCTCCCCTGCTTCTATGAGAGTGTTCCCCCACCCATCCACCCACTCCCAACTCACCACTCTGGCATTCCCCTATACTGGGATATCGAGCCTTCACAGGACCTCTCCTCTCATTGATGCCAGATAAGGCCATCCTCTGCTACATATGCAGCTGGAGCCATGGATCCTTCCATGTTCATTCTTTGGTTGGTGGTTTAGTCCCTGGGAGCTCTGGGGGGGGGGGGGGTCTGGATGGATGATATTGTTCTTCCTATGGGTTACAAACCCCTTCAGCTCCTTCAGTCCTTCTGCCAACTCCTCCACTGGGGTCTCCGAGCTCAATCTGATGGTTGGCTATAAGGATCCCCTCTGTATTTGACAGGCTCTGGCAAAGCTTCTCAGAAGACAGCTATATCAGGCTCCTGTCAGCATGCACTTCTTGGCATCTGCAATAGTGTCTGGGTTTGGTGTCTGCATATGGGATGGATCCCCAGGTGGGGCAATCTCTGAATGGCCTTTCCTTCAGTCTCTGCTCCACTCTTTGTCCCTGTATTTCTTTTAGAACAGGAGCAATTCTGGGTTAAAATTTTGGAGATGAGTGGATGGCCCCATCCGTCAATCAAGGGGCCGTGCCTAACCTCTGAATATGGTCTCTATAGGTCCCATTTTCATGGTCCAGGCAGTAGTGTCTATGGGATGAGCTCTGTGGCCTGAAGGGTACTTCCATCTTGGAAATAGTTATGCAAATGTCTGGGAGTCTACTAAGGTCTGGGGCCCCGTTACATTTGTCACACCAATCCATGGTCCTGACCCTATCAGAGGTATCAGAGGGCCAGACAAAGAAACTGCTCTGCCGGCATTCAGACCTAGGGAGAGACTGGAAGAAGGATCGGCTCCTCTTGGGCAGGATGAGTCTGTTGGCAGATACAGGGCTCCCTGTCTTCACCCAAACATCTCCCAATGATGCTTGTCCCTTCCAGGTTCAAAGAAACAACAGGTGGAGTTTCAACCTGTTCTATAGTGAATGCTGTCCTTGCAGAGAGAACATTAAGGGGCCTTTTAGCCTTGAGGGGAGATTGAGTGTGGAGAGCTCCCTGGATCTCTTTGTGACTCACTCCTATTCCTTTGCTCCTCACAGGTGAAATGCAGAAACTGTGGGGCCTTCGGCCACACTGTGAGAAGCAGAAGGTGCCCCATAAAGCGTGGCCATGAACTCCTGATCCCACAGCCTCTGGGAGTCAGGAAGGAGAAAGAGAACCAGGATCCTTGCAGGCCCCAAGGGCTACAGAAACTCAGTCAAGTCACCAGACATGGGTAAGTGATGTGAGTGGGGCTGGCAGGAGGGAAGGCTCCAGCAGAGCTCGTGGGAGAGCCCCAGGTAGAGCAGAGCTCATGGAGAGAACCATGTCTTAGCTCTCCGTCCCCAAGCTGATAGGGCCAGAGAGTTAGTAAATAGTCTGCTGGCAAGTGAGTGAGTGAGTGCCTGAGTGAGTGTCTGAGTGTGAATGAGTGTGAGTGTGTAAGTGTGAGTGAGAGTATGAGTAAGTGAGTGTGAGTGATTGAGTGCGTGAGTGAGTGCGTGAGTGTGTGAGTGTGAGTGAGTGAGTATGAGTGAGTATGTAGGTGAGCGTGAGTAAATAAGTGTGAGTGAGTGTGAGTGACTGAGTGAGTGCCTGAGTGAGTGTGTGAGTGTGAGTATGAGTGAATGTGAGTGACTGAGTGAGTGTCTGAATGAGTACATGAGTGAATGAGTATCTGAGTGCGTGAGTGAGAGTGAGTGCATAAGTGAGTGTGAGTGAGTGAGTGCCTGAGTGAGTGTGAGTGAGTGTGTGAGTGTGAGTATGAGTGAATGTGAGCGAGTGTCTGAATGAGTACATGAGTGAGTGAATGAGTATCTGAGTGCATGAGTGAGTGTGAGTGAGCACATAAGTGAGTGTGAGTGAGTGACTATTTGAGACTAAAGCTGAAGTATTCCCATACCATTGTCTGTCCCACAGGTGTGATGAGCGGCAGAGGAAGGTTCCCTTCCAGAAATTTCCAGTGGGGCCACAAAGTGGGGACCAGCAGGTCAACTTGGCTGTAAGTAAAATAGATACCCTATTCCTGAAATTTCCTTCCTCTGCTCTGCCACTCACAGCTTTCCTTCTGCAGGGCCTATTTGCTCACCTCGCATCCTCTGTACACGCCAGATTTCACAAATCCTCTCTGGTGGCAATGATTTATTTGTTCAGATGGACTTGGTTTGGATGAGTGAGCGAGTCACTGCTGTAGGTCTCCTTTATGGACCAGCTCACCTGAGAGGATGGGCAGGTTCCTCCTCACTCGCCCATGGATGGTGGTCTCCAGGTCCTCCTTCCTCCTGAGGTCAGACGACAAACAGGGCCTGCTCTCCAAGCTTTCTAGTGACCTGTCCACAGCCTTTGCTGTCACCATTTTGAACTGATTATGTCTGCTGCTTCTATAAATCTGGACTTTTACTGGAGAACTCTAAGCAGCATGAGCACACCCTTTTCCACCATCCCAATCCGTTCACTGTGGATTGCTGTCTATATGCAGGCGAGGGCAGACATAAGATGACAGCCTGTGACTGGGCAGTGGAAAAGGAAGGCAGGCTGAGAGTTAGAGTACAGAGGGACAGAGGGACAGAGGAGAAGGGAAGGAGAGGAACAGATAAGATAGAATCTATAGGAGAGGAAGAGGAGCCAGAATCACACAGTCCTGGGAGCTGTAAGTATCGGGGATTTCTTAGGTAGATGATTAAATAATAAGTAGGGTGCATTTGCCCCATCTAGGGGTGTAGCTTGTGTTTATATCAATAAAGTTTTGAGTTCACTGTGCAGGCTATTTGTGGGTTGAGAATTTACTGATATAAATCTGACTGATAAGTACAAGCCTCTAGAGTTTTGATTTTACCAGGCTACAGGGATTTGTGATGGCTAACCACAGGGGGTGGATGGCTGGGAATGTGAGCAAGAGAACCTCAAGATGGGCAGTCCCTACATGGGGCTAGCCATGGAGGAGGCAGGGAGGTCACGGAGACCAGAGAGTAGCCGGTCTGGTGCTAGCATGGGATGGTGCCTTTTTTACATTTTCCACAACAGTTCACCTCAAAGATCACTGGAAGAGACAGATTCAAGGCAAGCCAATGCCTTTGCCCTTCTTCATATTCCAAGTGAGATATTTAAAATTTTCAAAACTATGCTGTAAATTATGTGGTAATTTGAATCTAACTGTTCTTCCCTGAACACAGAAGGATCATGGCCATCTTCCTAACTGTCTCTCTGACTATCCATACGTCAATATTTCCCTTCATGTACCTCTTGTCAGACCACACACACACAGACGCATGCACAGACATACACGCAAACACAGATACATTCGGATTATCAGAATAAGGTTCACTTAAACTTTGTAGGGAGACTGAAACTCTCTCCCTTCCATTTCCCAACCCACCATGCTGCAAGTTTTGGATAGCTAATGTGGGTCACCACAACCTGATGATTTCACATCAGACTGAGCTGCAAACTACCACCATAAATCCCATGAGCTCCTGGTGGTGTTCTGAAAGCCATCACTGACTTCCATGCTGACAGTGCCCAGCTGATCTCTCCCTATATCTGTCCTATCTACAGCAGCCACAGATGCCAAATATTCCTGGGAACAGGAAGTTGTCTGTGCCACCAGTCAAACCATCTCTTGGGAAGCAGATGTGCCCTAGAAAGCCTGCCCTCCAAAGCTTTGACAGCTACTGCATCTCACATTCCAGGCAGAAGGAAGGTCAGAACATGGCTGTCCCTGGTGTTGCCCAGCCAGTGTTCAGACAAGATGGAAGAAGCACAGCCTCAGGAGACCTACTGGATCAAAAGCTACAGGGTATCTCACATCAACACCCCATTGATGTCCCCAAAAGTAATACAATCACTGAACTGTTCCACAAAGAGTCAAAAGCCCAGGATCCCAATAGGAAAATGCAGTCCAGCCAGCATCCCGTCATCCACCAGGGTAGACAGAACCCCAAACTCAGCTTCTGGGCCCCAGGTAAGGAAGCTTCCTGGTGTCCCACACAGTGTAGCCAGAGCACCCTGAAGAAACAAAGAATCAACTCTACCAATGCACCAGAGAAGAGTCATTCAAGCACTGGTTCCAAGAGCACCGTGCTCAGTCAGTCTTCTCCCATTGCCAACAAACTTGGACTAAAAGGTGCAGCTGAAACAAATAAGAAAATAGCAGCCCAGGTGGCCAGCATTGACCAACAGCTACATAGCAGGACTGCTCTGGTCTTAACCAGACCCTGTACTGAGTCCCACCAGCCATCGGCTGGCCATGTTGCAGGTCAAGCCCTGAGAATGCTCTTTACCAGACAGGGTAGTAACTACTGGAGCTCCAGGTTCCTGACAGTGCCCCCACCACTTCCCATGGAGAAGCAAACAACTCCTTTGGAGAGCCCTGCCTTCCCCAAGGAAGGAGAGACAGCAGAATCCCAGGTCAAAGTGAGTGTCCTGTATGAGGATCTTCAGGTCTCTTCCTCCTCAGAGGACAGTGATGGACAATGAGCTGCCGCCTGAAGAGCAGGTGCCACCTCCCTGTTCAGACTTGCCAGATTCTTTCAGACTGATCCTCTCCTGAATTAACTAGGTAGATGACATGACTGTGTCGTGTCAGGTTACTTCCAAATGTGTCCCCCTATGGTGGGACATCCCTTTCTTCTCTTTGCAACTAGCCTCATCTCAGCATGATCTCTGGACTCTGATGTGTGCCTCTGAGAAGCACTCTGAAGAAAGGTCACCTGTCCTCTCCACTCTTGTCATCAGTGACCTCTAAATGTGTCCTTCCAGCTAGTTCAATGTTCAAAACTATCTACCAGTTGTCCTATTGTATGAGGTTTTCTACTTTCGCCAATAAAATTACCGTAGAAATTATGTCTATGCCCTCATGTTCTTGTGAAGAGTGCACAGGGTTTCTCACACTACCTATGGCCCAATAGCAATCCACAAACTCAAGTGGTGTTCAATCAATCTACTGCATCAGGTTCACCATGTTGACACTTAGACATTTTGACACTGTGCACAGGTACCTCCCACCTGTGATCTAAGACCCCTGAGAGACAGGACAGTCTGTTCTCTCCTACCTCTGTCGTGTTACTGAAGGTTTTGGCTTCTCTGACACTCAGAAATCCAGGTGACATATACCATAAGATATGAAGCCCTGGTGACTCAAGTTCAGGGTGCCCTGGTGTGAGACCCTGAAAGTTTACCCTGGGTTTGCCATTCTCCAGTTGAAACAAGAGGATATTCAACAACACAGTTACAGCAGGGCTGGATGTCACATAGCTTATGTTGGCCACATGGTAGATGAAGGCCAGAGGATTGCCTCCATTTCGGGGCTCAGCTGGCTACTTGCTGGGCTGCTAGATGTAAGTTTTTCTGATGTGAGACAATTCACTGACCCCCCCAACATGGCATCTTAAACTTAGTATCCATCCACGAGTTCAGGATATTGCAAACTTTCTACATCTGGCTTTTGTGTTAAGCGTGTTCATGACAACACCCACGGCAGTACCTGTATTTTTCTGTAATTGTGTGTTTGAGACAGGGCCTCTCAGTGACTAGAGGTTCAACAACTCAACTAAATAACAAGCTTCAGTGATCTGTATCTCTCCAGCCTACTAGCCTGGCAGAGTGCTGTTACAGCTACATCTATAGCTTTCTGTGGGTGTTGTCCACAACCAGCAGCAGCTCAGGTAACTCTGGGTATCCCCTGCTGGATCCCCTCTGGATCCATACAGGTACCACATGGAAGGAAACCCTTTTGACTCAGGCCTTGATATAAACGTCACTTTTCTTTCATTAGCTGAAGTGATGAGAGCCATACCCAAGCTTTATGAATAGATTGGGCTGAGCCCAGAGGGTTGCTTTCTCTGTTCTAACTCTCCCTAGGACTAGGCCTAGACACTTCTAGCCTTCACATAATCTAACCCTCTGCAAACCTGGACCCTGAAGGCTTCAGCTTCCAGCCTCCATCTGCTAACCTCGGCCTAGAATTTTTCAGCCTTGAGACTGTGAAATATGCTCATTCTTTCTAGCTTGTTCTCTCTGCAACCTGTCCCAGTAAAACTACTACACATCTCACCACACCCCCATTTCTCTCCCTGTCCTTCTCTTAAGTACCCTCTCTTTTCTGAACTGTTCTCATAAGAGTTGGATGTATAGACTCTCTAATTCATTCTGTCAAATATTCCTCTGGTTGGTCACTTTGCCTCTTGAACATGGCTGCTTTCAAACAACACTACTTCCTTCTACAAACTAACCTTACTTTCATTGTTAGAGGTTAAAGGTGTGTACTAAGGGTGTGTCTGTATTCCAGCCAGGTCATATTGTAATTCAGTGTGTCTGCATTCCAGCCAGATCGTATAGGCCTAGATGGTCTTTGAATGTGATCCCTTGCCAGAGCAGCCATGTTGCTGAGCTCTCAGCTTGGAAGAATCACAAGGACACCCTTATCTTCATTGAATCTAACAGCCCAGGTATTAAAGGCTGGATTATCAGATCGTGGGAACTTCAACGTCACCACTTTAATAGGAAAATGTCTCACACACTTGAAAATTAAGCAAAAGGCTCAGAAATAACATGTGCAGGTACAGCAAAAATGATAGTACAGTAGGTATTAGGGGAAATTTTTTTAGATACAAACTTAGTAGCTTTTGAGTTCACCTGACACCTCAAACTGGCCTTCAATTTGTGATCCTCCTACTTAGTCTCCCAAGAGCTGAGATTATTGGCTTGTTCACCTCAGAAGAGAGTTTAATTGAATAAATAATACTTAAAAATGTTAAAATGCAGGGAAATATAGAGGGAAATTGCCTTAAGCAAAGGAATAAATTAAGCTTTAAGAAGATCTTGCCGTTTGCTTCCTAAATCAGTCTGGAGGACATTATACTAAATGAAATAATGTAACAGCCTGTTCTGCCCCACTTTGGGGGCTTCTTTGTAATGACTCGTTCTGCCCCACGTTTGGGGGCCACTCTATCCCTCCCAAGCTGCTGCTCTGGTCCGAGGGTCAGGGTCTAGCAAGAGAGAGAGTGGGGATGGAAGGGCAAGAGACGCGAAGAATGGAGACAAGACAGAGAGTCTGTTCAAGTTCCATTTATTGAAAGGAAATCCTGGGTGTACATAAGCACAAGCAGGGGAATGCAGCTGAAGACACTTTACCACATGCGCCTTGCAGCTGGGGGCATTAAACAACAAAACAATATATGTGAGAAAAATAAGATGTGTATCAGAGTGTACTCAGCTGTTGTAGGCTGTTGAAAACAAGTCTCTTGTCAGGGTATATGGCTTGAGATGGCTGCAAAGATGATAGCCGCTTTCTGCTAGGAGTCGGCTCCCAACAAAAGACAGACATAGAAATAAAACCACCAGCATCTGGTCTTGCTGCCATGTGAAATCTCAGAAGAAATCACAGCACATATATAGAAACAGAATAAAGGCATAGTGGGGTAGTGAGGGGTGATACAAGAAGTGGATCAAAAAACAGCAAGTCGAAGATACATGGGATACATAATTCCTGATGTATAATTGTGTTGCCTTGAAGATATCTGATAAGTGCTGGAGCCAGACAGTCAGTCAATATGGAAACCATGACTGGGGTAGTGAGAATGATAATAGGAAAGGCAGAAAGAAGATGCAAGAGTCAGGTATGGGAGGGCTGTTAGTTAAAACCATGTCTGTGAGCAAGTGTAGTTTCTCAGTGCCTTTTAAAGGCAAGTAACACAAAGCATGACCAATTTGAGGAAGAAAAACAATGACCACAAATCCTTACATGGTGAGTTTATGGTATACAGTATCTATGTTTGACTAAGGCCATTGATCATAAGCAAGAAGCCAGTCAAAGATAACTCCAGAAGTGTGCCCCACAGAAAAGGTTTTGATAAGAAAGTAAAATTTGGGTGCTCTTAACTCACTACCCCCAAAGAATATATATCTCTGTGAAATGGCAGGTTTGTTCATTTTCTGTGTTTTAGCAAAAATTTCACTATGTTGACAAAAAGTTCTGGTGTTAAAAATGAAACACTAAGTCGGTCGTGGAGCTTAACAGTAGATTTAAGATGATGGGGAATGAATTCATGAACTCAAAAGGAGCTCCATTGAGATTATCCAGTCCAAAAGGCAGAAAGAAGGAAGCCAAAGAAATAAGTCTTTGGACTTTCAAGCCAACATCAACTGCAAACCCAGGAATAATATAAGTCCCAGAAAGAAAGGGCAGGCAAATAACCAAACTTGTCTGATCTTTGGTGAAAAACTATGTAAAGTCTTCCAATATCAAAGAACCCCAGCAAAATCAACAAGGAGAAACTAAAAAGACACAGAGCAAAACACATCTAGTCAAACCACCAAAAGGCAAGACCAACACAGCAGGAATCCTTCATTCCAAAGCCATTCCTAAAGCAGCAGATGAAATATTTGGTAACAGGAACCGTTGGCGAAGTCCAAAGTAAATGATGCTAACATCTTTCCAACCTGTCGGGAGCTCGCTCCTTTTCATGGGTCCCCAATCTAGGGCCTCATCTTGATCTCCAAGCTGTGACTCAGAACTGAGGATGAAAGGCTCACTGCAAGGACTGCTGGCGTGAGCCCAGGAGACACATCACCAGGATTCTGATGTGAAAATGTATGCCTGCCCTCTGAAGGCTACAGGGCCCTCCCAGTTGGGAAACAGCTAAGCAGTAAGTAACCTTAAAAATAAGTTCTAGGCTGGTATGGTGATGAAGGCCAGACATGGTTTTATTGAATTTAAAAGTATCTATATAATCACATAGTCAATTTTCTATTGTCCTTGATATATAATGCATATATAAAGACTCAATCTCAACTATTTTATTTCTTTTAAGAGCATTGAGGGTTTGTTTTTTTTTTTTTTTTTTTTTACATTTGGTTGAGCATGTACGCATATGTGTGTGTGGGTATGGACCACTGTGTGTATGTAGATGTCAGAGAACAACTTGTAGTTTTCTCTCTCCTTATGGCCTCCAGGAATCAAATACAGGTCATCAGGCCAGGCAGCAAGTGCTTTTACTCACTAAGCCACCTTACCATCCTTCCCAAAGATAATGTAGTAGTCATTTGATAGAAACTTAGAGATAACTTTCCCCTACTATTTTAATTCAAGTAACTGCTATCCATTGAGCTGCTGTTTCTTGAACATCTGCTCTATGGCAGAAACTACACTAGGCACTGTGCCTAGTGATGGCAGACAGGCAGCAGGAGGGAAGGAAGGCAGCTCTGAGTCTGAGACTGAGAGGCTGTGAGGACAGGCTGCCTAGAGAAGGCATCTCCTTACCTAAATCTGGAAGGGTCGGCTAGGTCAGTTAGTTCAGCTATCTGGGGGTGGGGGAGACTAATGGAATGGGAAGTGAAGAACTTAGCAAGTCCAGGGATTCTAGACAAAGACCCATAGAATGACACAAACAGCATCAAAATTCTAAATCAGTTATATTCACCCCACATTTTTTTTTTTTTTTACTATCTGCTGGGTTACAGAGACAGAAGGAAGATAC